CTTCGTCTAAGGCTTTCTCGGTTTACGCAGCTGCTTTTCTTTTTTTTACGGTTGATAGCGATAACATGACGTCGAGAAAGGGTGTAGATTATTTTCCCAAAGCTATTGTTATACGAATGACCTTTTTTATTGGCCAATAAAAAAGAAAACCAATAATTCAAAAATTAGTAAAATAAAATGTTATAATATCTTAGCTTGACATAATTAGTCATATTATTTATCTACAAAATAAAAAATAAGAAATTACTAAAATTTAAATTATTTGCAATATACCTAATAATTTTTAAATCTAAATTTTTTTGAACCTGAAGTACCTATATACTCGTATGATGACATGATGGTATTATTTATTGTGCATCATCGGGTCGCGTCCTCGTACTGTGATATTGTTAAAATGCGCATTGCGCAATCGACCGACCAAATTATTTACCTGTGCAGTGGACTAATGATGACAAAAGCCTGCCCCAAATCGGCGACTTCTACACTGATTCACACAACCTAACCTAGCCAGTCAGCTGCAGTGCTTCTTAACACAGTGGCCACATCGGACTACCAAAAAAACAGCTTTTTCAAGGCCCCTAATAATAGTTTTTCAATTCTCTCTACGTGTTAAGTTGAGAGGATGTCAGAGCACTATTTATATTCTCTCTCTGGCCCAAGATACCAAATTTATGTTCAGCGTGTAGCTTGCTGGTTAGGTTAGGTTAGGCCACCTATTACTACTTTAAATAAAACTGAACTAATTTATAACATTATCTAAAGATAATTTATTAAATGGTTTTTCTTAATGTTTAGTTTAATAAGTTTTTCTGGACAAATGTTCAATCGTTCTATGATACGTCGCCGCATCAATTGATCAAAATAATTAATCAAATTTTAGTACAATTTTTCGAAAGTCAGTATTTTTTTTAATTAAATGTTGAGTAAATTATTTTAAATTATAAATTAGGTAGGTACTCAAGGTAGGTACTTAATAAACCATCACATTAAAAAAAAAACGCTTACCAAGTCAGGGATCGGCATGTAAACTTTCTTGATTTTTAATTTTTAGAAAAGTACCTATTAACTGATATCACGCCCAACTGCCCAAGGTATAACAATTTGAATCCAGAAAAATGTAGATGTAAACAGCCCCACAAGAAATCATTTTCATTTTCATTTAGTGAGATATATCTCCGAAACCGGAGAGCGGACTTCGTTGTTTGGGGTCTTGTTAGATTCACATTGGTTAGGAAAAGTGCAGTGAAGATTTTCAGAACTTTATCTTTATTAGTTAATTCATTATAGAACATAAAAAAAATTAAAACAAATTTTATTGGTCGATTTTTGATGTTATTCAGCTTTACAGCTTTGTAGTGAATTAACGATTGGGAGATAAAGTTTTGAAAATCTTCACTGCACTTCTCCTAGCCAATGTGAATCTAACAAGACCCCAAATAACAAAATCCATTATCCTTTTTGAAAATCTACCTCGCTAAATGAAAATCTAGCAAAAAATAACTATTTTTTTACTGTAAAAAATTAAATAATTAAAAAAAAAATTTTAATTCCATATTTAGTATCTACTTGATAATCCCTTTTTAATGAGTTATCAACCTACTTTCTAGCTATCATAGTTTAGGAGAAAAGTTAAAAATAGACATTTTGGGACCGTTCAAGCCGACGCTTTTAGGATTCAAGTGGTTTTACCGCTTGGGTGTGATATCAAATCTCTCTCATTAATATTTTATATTTTATATTAAAGCTAACTAAATTACCCCCTACTCATCATTACTGAGTTTCATTTTTATTATTTTCCTATTTAACACAAATTCTTGAAGTTTTCAAAATTCAGACTTTTTCATTTCAATTACCGATTAAAAATCAAGAAAGTAATAATTTTATATGTCAATTTTTAAAGGCATTATTTCGGTAAAATCCATTTTTTATGAACATGTTTAGCTATTTCTAGAGCATTTAAATCTAGGCCCTAATAATGATTAATTACCAATTATAACGAATCTAGTAAAATTAAGATATAATTACATTTTTTTTAAATAATATTTTAATAATTTTAAAAACAAAAGAGATTATTAAATACATCCTGTACGCCTCTTTTTTAACAATAATGATGAGCAAACGGTCTATAAAAAATGTCATTCTTAACAATAGCAATGCACCAGTTGTATTATACGCTCCACAGAGACCTCAGGTTGTGCTTACACGCCCCGTGGAGCACTGAATTGCTCACCCGATGTAAAAAAAGCCTGTAGCGCTTTTCGGATCTTTTATGGATGTATTAAAGATCGAAGATTAAGTGTAAAAGTTGAAATGTCATTTGCTACGAAAGCTATGGGTTTAAATTTCGATTTGAATAAGTATATATTATATATATATATATATATATATATATATATATATATACATCAACATTTTCAAAAGTCATCTTGTAGTTTATTCCTTAATAATTTACAATAAAACAGTGGTACGTCTGTGGTTCTCGTGTAAAAACAAAGTTTGTGTCACCACAGGACCAGTAGCATACCTATACCTGAACTTGCCCCCCCCCGGTTATATCCGCCATTAGTACACCACTGCGCATGATACAGGACACTCCTTAAATTGCATAAACAAATCTAAGCATATGGAAAAAATGGAGCTTTAGTAAAAATTAAAATTCATAAACTTCATCATTAAAGGAAAAATGCTGGGAAAATCATCTTGTTCTTATAGTACCTATAGTTAACTGTATAATGTATAAATATAGCCAAGTAGAACTGTTTCGTAATTGGTTCAATACTAAATATTTAGACCAACCTAGGTATATAAATATATATATACTGTGTATGAACTCTTTCAATTATGTAATATCATCTATAACGACTCGAAAAAATTAATGCCAACGCCGTAGAATATCAATATGACGATATACATTAAATGTTTTGTAATATTTTAAATAGTTGTTATTTTTTTTTTTCGTAGATAAATTGCATATCTGCCACAGTTGTGTGTAATAATCATCTGATGAGTTTTGCCGAGTTCGGATATGAAGATGGTCGATCTGTGCTTTATCACAAAATTACAAACGAGGTTATTACGTGGTTACGACAATACGTCTAAATATAACACGACATACACCTACTAGAAGTATACTGGAACAATGAAAGTTATTTGAATAATTAAATTATTTAAATATACACTTTAACGTGCAATTTTATTGAAATTGGTATAATGTCGATAAATTTGTAGTAAAACAATATAGCTTTACCTATATAATGTACCGTGTATATTGTATTTTTATTTGTCTATTTATATTATCCTATATTTATAGGTCTCTCTACTAAGTACTCAGTATATTTTTATATTTAGTAGGTATTTAGTATTTATATTATATTTGAACATATTTTAAACTTTTTGAGAAGGTAGGTAATTGAATCGTTGGCTGTGAATATATAAACTAGGTACTTATTAAAATGTATTAATAGCGGTAAGTAAACTTTTATTCAGTTTACAAATAAATATTTGTTTTATACTCTTTGCAATATGGGATTTTTAATTTTAGAAACATTGAATCAAAAATTAAAACATATTTATATATTACCATACGAATTATTCCACCTTTTTCGTCGCTATATACTGTTACTGAAATTTACACAAGTCATAAATCCACCACCAACCAATTTAACTTTGCTATTAAAAACTTCTTTATGCACTTTACTCTTTTACCTGTAACCCATTGGTCATTACTGCGGTTGTTGTGCATGTGCTGCTCAGTGCAGCTGTACACCTATCGTCGACAACCTCACCTAGCACCTACAGAAATTATTTATAACAATAAAATTGCTAAAATTTGCCAAGTATATTCAAGAGGCCACTGTTTAGGAATTAAGTGTGTGTGGTATTTTTTACTACCTATTGGCCACAGGTCATACAGATTCTGTAGGATGTAGTGCAAGTTAAAAATATAGATATGAAGATATACATTTAAAGAATTAAAATGTTTTCTAAAGTTAGTTATAAAGGTGAAATCTATATAAATCATATCTTTATATACCTACTTAGTCATAATATTAATACATACCCAATAAATCTATAGTGTAATATAGGTACTTACTACTTACACATATTTCTGAGCGTAAATATTTATCCTCCAATAAATGGCATTCTCGACGGCGGGGTCGTCGTCGTCCAGCGGAAAGGGGAAGGGTTGTAAACGGGGGATTGGATCAATAACAGCTGTTGGCACGCACACTATAGACCTTTGAGCGTAAGAGTGTATTTACACGAAACCTGGACGCATGTGTAATACGACGGACTTACAAATGGAGTAAACACATACAAATACCCATGGAATCAAGATATAGGTACGGCAGTATAGATCAGTAAAATATATCGAAAGAGTTATGGTGCGCGTTTAGCTATCGTTTAAATCGGAAATCTACTCGGAACCACCGGGTACAGGCGTACAGCTATTTCATTATAATGTTAATGTTTATTATATTCTAAGGTACTTGTATGTATTCTTCCTGCAATATAATCAATCGCACATCAGATTTCAAAATACGTTTCGTTAGATATGACTTAATTGTAGTGTAACGATGTACACACTACAGACATAGCAGGCTGGTAGGTACACTAGGTATTTATGACATAATTTCAATCCATGATCGTTAGTATAATAATATATAGGTATATTATTACTTATTATTGTTATTATTAAGGCTGTGAATTTGTAGCAAGGTGCATTAATTCGTGTATTGTAAAACGTAGCTTTCTTGTAACAGAAACTTTGAATGGTGTTTAACAACGAATTCAATCCTGAAACATTAATTTTTTTGCATATTTTTTTTACTGCTTTAGTGTAACTTTACTACTACTTTTTTAACTGCATTTTTACGGATTTTAAACGCTCTAAGGTTGGAGCATAGTGCATTAAATTCACAGCCATTATTCAATAAGTTATATTATTATTGTTGTTATAATAGCTGGTATAAACATACAACAGGCCGGACGGCTGAGAAATGAATTCGATGGAAAACTCTGAGACCAGCTACAACTTGCCGACGGGCAGTTGCTCGACCATGGTCAGAAATCTAGTATCTCAATTCAACGACCTGTTCAGTGATTTCAATCGATACATCTCTCCGGCCTACCATCACGACCGATGCGAACGGTAATCTAAAAATGGCGATACATGATAATGAATTAAACGTTACATATTATAAATAATTTCATATAATATATAGGTAATACGCGTCATTATACATACCTATATATGTATAATATTGATATAATGTATTTATGTATATATAATTTGCTTGCACATTATACACTGAAGCGTAATATAAATATATTAACCATAATAGTTATTATTATTACTATATATTTTTTACGTTTTTCAGATCGGTGCACATGCGTTTGTATTCGATGAACAAACGGGAATTCGTAATGGTGTTCATCGTCCTGTTGACGGCCATGGGGCTGGTGTTATTCATCGGATTGACGGGTTAGACGACCCATATTTGTGTATAATTAAATATTATATAGGTACCTGCCTATTTAAATGTCCGAGTTTGGGGCTCAATACTCGACTGGTAGAAAATATTAAAATATGCGTATAATGTCTATATAATATTGTAATACCTATATGATTTAATAAGTAGGTAAATACCTCTAAACATTTTGTATTTAAATGTATATTTTACCTTTTAAAAAAAAAAAAAAAATTCACACACAAAATACATAGTTCCATAAATTCATACATGAATTTTATTAATTGTTTTCGCAGGTAAGAGTATAAGCCAGCCAAATTAAAAACGATAGGTAGGTAGGTAGTAGGTACCTATATTTGACAGTTTTTATATTCGAACAACCGCTGAGAATCAACTTTCATAAACAAATCGTTAAAATGAAAAAAAAACTTTTAAGATAGATAGGTAGTATGCAATTATAAATTTAATATCAAATTATTCATATTTAAATTCGATACGTAGGTTCGATTGGTAGGTATCTGTTACATGTTAGAATCCACTACGTGTTTTACTATACAGCCCGGGAATTAACAATAATAATTATACTCAATATTATATTGTTTAAGAATTTTATGAGATTTTTCTAGAAAAATAACAATTCGTTTCAGGACCTCCGATCACACTGACGAGTAAGATAAGCGGAGTTGAAGTATTGAAGCACACAAACGGATCTTTGCCACAGGGCCCATTCATCATGAAAACTCCTAGTCTGTCGGTGTATAACCAACGATTGTGGTTAATCGCAGTTGTGCTGACGGACAATAAAGACGGTAGGTATTAGGCACATACTACCTACTATATTAGTATTATAAAATGTACCCAAGTCCTAAAACATGGCAAATAATATTTAGAAAAACTTGGGCAAATAGCGTAACAGCCTGATAAGTGCTGACGTATTGTACCTGCAAGTTGTATTGTATAAGATCATAAGGACGATGGCGCATCCAGTGCTTAATTTGGAGGGGGGGCAAAAGTACAAAAAGTTCCAAAATGGGCTAAATACAGTGTAAAACAAAGGAAAACTACGGCAATTGGGGGGAATGCCCCCTTTGACCTCCCCCTGGATCCGCCACTACATAAGGGTTACTATTTATTTACACCCCGCAATAAGTAGGTATGCATTTATTGCAGGAAAATAATTGTTCATACATTTAGTCTAAAGGTCAGGTTAGGTTATAGTTAATAACCAAAGTTCACTCATTTTAAGTCAACAAATTCTAACCAGTTTTATATCATTAACTCTGAATAGTATAGGTTAAAATGGTAAATCCTAATAGTTTAATTGTAGGTACTTAGCTTATGGTAATTTTTTATATTATATGTTAGCCGTTAGGTAAGTAGGTAACTCATATTTTAAATGTATCTGTGTTTAAAAATTTAAATACCAACTTTTATATACTACTTACTTTAATTATGTTCACATACAAATTAAAAGTAATTAAAAAAAAAAATAACTACTTTCTCAAAACATTTTTTAACCACAATAATTAAATCAATGTATATATTATACATTTTACAATAAAAAAGGTCATATAGTTACTCTTTTAATGTTTTAATTTTAACAGATGAGACTTATGATAAAAGTTTCAAGATCAGCATGGCCATCAAGGGAATCACCCCTCAGCACAAAACCACTGATATAGTAAAAGTTTTTAAAAACAACAGGTGATGGAGAACATTAAAAAAAATATTTATAAATTTATCAGTAGAACACAATATTGAATATTTTACAGGACGAGACATTTACTTTGCAAACAACAGATATGTAGCCAAGTGCCTATAGCTCATATTGGCTACATACACTTTACTCATTATACGTTTGAGGTAGATTTTTATAATCTAGAGACTTTTCATCAAAAGTATCAAGTAAAAGAAGTCATGTTCTATGTGAGTAGTGTTAATTGTTGCTAATTTTTAATAAACTAGACTAGACAGAATTTAAATCGGTAATAATATTAAATCATGATAAATTGTTATGCAGTACAAATCGTACAACCCGGGCTACACCCAAATGGAAATATGGTTCAGGCTGATTTATTTACTCAGTGCATTTGGAGTACTTGTAAGTATAGTTTTAATAATTACCTAATGAATACCCTCTATAGAAAATGTTTCAATAAAATATATAATTTGCTTTTAGTGTTGCTTTGCGAATTCACTAAGGAAATTTCCAGTGGTGGATTGGTCATACGAGCAAAAATGGACTGTTGTCTTATTGCCACTATTAATATTATTTAATGGTACATAGAATTAAAAACTATTCAAATGAAATTGCATAGATATATAATATTATTATACAATATGTATAATTGAGAGTAATAATATTTGTTTTTAGATCCAATATTTCCTTTGACACTTCTCACAAGCAATCAACTAATCGGAATGTTAGATGGTGTCTTCCAAATAACATTTATCTGTGCAATTTTATTCTTTTGGCTTTGCATTTATCACGGATTACGTCAAGTATGACATTTTTTTTAACAGATTAGTAATTATTAATTAATAATATATTAATATATAATAATTGTTGAATTATTTTTATAGAATGAAAGAAAACCGATTGCATTTTATCTCCCAAAAGCAATTTTAGTTGGTCCATTTTGGATATGTGGTGTTATAATGGCCAAATATCGTCGAATGAATGAATTTGATGACCCAGCATTCAGTTATGAAATTGATTCTAGCGCCTACGCTGTAAGGACTATAAAATAATTTTGTTATTGAAGTTAAGGCAATGTACAAATGTATTTTATTTGTTATAGAATATCAAGTCGTGTGTAGGCATTTTTGCAATCATATACATAGTGTATCTAGTGTGCTTGATTTTAAGAGCATACAGTGATTTGCGTTCGATGCCATATTTTGGTCAGTATTCAAACAACTTGGAAATTAATGTATAATAAAGATAAGTTAAAATAGTATTATTTTCATAGATGCTAGACTGAAATTTGTAACTATTTCAATGGTCATATCACTTATAATATGTTCAACCATAACACATATGCAATATGGGCTTGGCTTGATTGAAGACTCGTTTGCTGCAGACTTGAACACAGAATATATGACGTCAGCATTATTTATGACCTTTTATGGTATTTGTAATTTCTATGTATTTACATTGGCTGCTGTTTACTCCCCGACAAAAAAACCAGGATTTGGTAAATCTTATATGGAGTAGTAAATAAATATTTAATATGCTAAAATCTAATTAGTAATTTGTATTGTATTTAACTATTTTTAGAGTCTTCGGTAACAAAAGATAATCCTGCATTCTCAATGGTCAATGATTCTGAAGAAGACATACCATATGGTTCAGACGAAGAAAGCCACAAGCCACTAAACCCTCCCAACGATGACAGTGATTAATTATTTACTTATTGTTTATTTGTACATAAACTCTATTTCTCTATTTGGTCTTTTATAATTTTTTTCAAGTTCAATAATAACATAAAAAAGTAATTTTTCAATAAATTACAATTTAAAATATTTGTTTATAAAACTATGTTGTTGGAATTTAAACTAATTAACCCTAAACCTAGTGGTTAGTCAAAATAAATAAATATTTAACATATTTATTTATTTTATAGCATATTATTAATTAAACAATATTTTTTAAATTGTCAATAACAACGTACTAATGACTGATTAAAAAATAAGGATACCAAGTACCAGTTTAGACTTTAGTTGTTGAGAAAAGTATTCGCCCATGATTTTTACAAATACATTTATTTGAATGTAACTAATTTAGTAGGACTATTCATTTATTCAACTTTGTACTACTATGAATTATTTTAATATTCTCAATATCATCATATCTTTGATATTATAACATATTCTAAGAAGTAAGATCATTTATAGGTAAAATTGTTTTTTCTTTTATAATTTAAAGACAGATTGTAAGATATTTCAGTTTATTCTTATATATTATGTATACCATTAACATATTTTATTAATTAATTTTGTACTTTTAACCGTTATGAATAAAAAAATGAATCTTAATTTCAAACTTGTATGTCCTTATAGTAGTATTGAGAAATATACATACATATATGTACACATTTTTACCAATTTAAATTAAATTAAATATAAAAAAGAAAAATAAGTAATTTTTTTCCCTAAAAATTATTAAAGGTATTTTGATTGGCAATTTCTTTCAATGACAATGACTATTAATAGCATCTTAGTTGGCTTATAATTCATAATCATTTTATCAATCAATATTATTATCCAGAATTTGTTCTTATGGAGTGGTTGAATATTTGATATTCATATTCTTGATGTTGTTAACCATCTAAGCATTTCATTTTTCTTCACAGTCTTCCGAAAAATTAAATTTATTTAACAACCTTGAAATAAAAATTTTACATTTGTATCTAAATATATAATGTTATAAGTAGCATAAATACTAATAATACCTATAAATATAATCAAATCAGTTTATCGGCTAAATTCTATATTTAGAATACGAAAAATTGTACTTACATCATAGTACTCTTGTAAGACCCATTTGTATAACCATCTTTGAATCCATCTTTATACCCGTTATCGAATCCCATTTGGAACATCACATCAGATTCGATATCTGTAGATGTAGCTCCTTCCCTAAATGCCGTCTATGAAATCAGGTTTGTTAGTAAATAATTTGATACAAAATGATTTATATTAATGTACACCACCTTTTTAATTGTAGAGATGTTTTTTTTCCAATTCCTTCTCATTATTTCTTGTTCATCGTCACTACTAACATCTCCATGCTCAGACTGACAATTAGTAGACATGTCAAGAAGAATAAGAGTAATAATTTATCAGGCGAGGATTGCCTAAAAACGTTTTCCTCATGAACAAACAAAAACTTTAAACATACCAAATTCAAAAGTTAAGACTAAAAAAACGAAATGTGAATGTGGAATGTCTTATCAGAATAAATCATCCACAAAATATTTTATATTTTAATCATAAACATTAAACACTATAAAAATAGAGATTTCATTACGGCAGAAAACGCCGATCACGGTTGGTGGAATGAATGGTATATTTTCCAAAGGCAAGAAGCAAGAATAAAGCCATAGGATTCATATCATCCACCTTGTGCTTAGCTGGATTTCCCGATTTCATACTTCATAGGTGGATGTGGATCACGATTCACGGTTGTAGATGATTATAGTATTATCACAGAATTATACCACAGAACAATACAATACCGGACCAACACTGTATCAAGTATGATAACCATGACCAAAATATAAATATTTAGATTGATAACTAGATAATGATAATGCTTATCATTTAAGTTTTTTCTTTTGTATATTATATTTTGTATTTATTTTTCATAAATACATCATCGAAGTTTATGCCTATATTATAATATAATATATTGTTATTTGTTTAAATTATTCGTCAACTTAAGTAAAAGTTTTTATTTATTTAAATCATTGTCTCAAGAAATTGTTCACAATTATTTCAATATACGTTTTAATATTAATATTACGTGGCAATTATTTTAAAACTATGATTTTTAAATTTATATGTTGTCATTAAAAATAATAAATCTTCACTATGTTTGAAAAATATGAAGACGTGGCTTGTAAAAAGCTAAAATGCATTCAGCGCATTATTGAGAGAAATGTATGGCCCAAACATATTAATACATTTGTTCTTTTTACTAACTTACACTGTTTTTAGACATAACTACATAAGCCATGTCTTCTAAAATGAGTCAAACTCATATTGTGGTGCTATGTTCTATTGCAAATTTTATAAATGCGGCTGATCGTGTTATTATGCCTATCGCAATAATACCAATGACTAGTTATTTCAAATGGACAATGCATTGGCAGGGATGGATATTGTCATCATTTGCTTTCGGCTATTTAAGTAGTCAAGTAACTAAAAATATACATATTATAGTCATTATTAAATTAATGATAAAGTAATTAGGAAATATATAATATTATAAACAATATTTTTGTTTTTATTTATTCAGGTTTTTGGGGCTTGTGCAGCTAAGAAATTTGGTGGAAAATTAATTTTATTGCTGTCTGTTTTTTTATGGTCAATATCAACTGTCGCAACACCATGGGTATCTCATAACACATTTGCTTTAATTTTATGCAGAATAATATCTGGATTTGGTGAAGGATTAGGTAAATCAATTTTGAATAAGCTTATTTGTGAGATGATACAAAATATTTGAATTTATTCTTAATCAAATTTAGGATTACCAACAATATTTCATATTTTTGCAAACAATATCTCAGTAACTGATCGTTCAAGTGCATTTGGTTACCTAGTGGCCGCAGGTTCTGTTGGCCAGACAGTCGCAACTGTGGTAAGTTTATTGCCTATTGATAAAAAATATTTATATAAATCAATTTATTTAATAAATGATTTTTATTAATATTCAAATTATTTGGATAATGTATAAAAACTACCTATCCATTTTGGCACATTATCTCTGAATTAAAATACCCAAATTGTGTGACAATTTTTACCTTATCCGGGTAATATGTATACTATCCACAAAGCTATGAATTAAGTTTTTTTTTTTTTTAACATTTATTGGAGTATCTACAATTGGTAATAACAGTTACAATAAGCATAATATGAGCATAGAAAAAAAAGAGTATACGTGTTATGAAATTTTGATGAGAGTTTAGTAGCTACCCAGCAGTAACACTCAGACGCAATATGAATAAAGTAAACAATTAATAAGGTAATACCTAATAATAATACTCGGAAAATAATTGTTTTCTTATATATTTAATATATTGTTAATCATTACCTAATTAAATATTATATTTTATATAATATATATGTCAAGTTATTACATTTTATAAATTGTAAATTATAATATTGATTTATTTATTTATTTACTAAAAATGTAAGTATATATTATATATAATATTTATTAAACGAGTATTAAATAATGAAGATTTGAATACAAAATAATATAATGAAAATAAACACATAATATTAACTAACAATTAATTGAAAATCGATTCAATTATAATGTTATACAACTGAGTTTGATAAATTGATGAATATTTGTATGTGAAAACAGATGGTAATGTAACTAATAAACTTATAACTTGTAATAATGTACCTATACATTTATATAATATAATCTTATTGCATGTGTTTTCAAAGACAATTTATTTATTTACTATCTTTATTTTGTAGTAAATTGTATCCAAAGATCCTTATTTATTCAGCAGTAAATAATGTATTAATTACCCGGGTACTGTGAGAAATAAACATTTGGAATATATTTTTCATATTTTATTCACTATATATTTAATATGAATCTATAATAATATTAACTGTTACTTATGCATATTAATGAAAATAACTTTTCTTTTCCAGATATGCCCACATTTAATGTGGCAAACTAGCTTTTATTTGTTTGGTTCAATTGGGATTGTTTGGTCACTTATATGGATTTCATTATATTCAGAAAAAGATTGGGGAAATAATGATGAGCTTCCATTAGTTATTATCCCCCAAGTATGTTAAACCCTTATATAGTTATATGCTATCTTATAATATACTCATAAATATACTAGCTATCTTGTCATATGCGCTTAACCTCAGATTGCGATCTACTAGTGGTTACAGGGCACTTGTCGTACTCGCTCTACTACTGGATTTCAATGCTGGTATTAGATACACAAATTTAAAGGAAAGAAGTTAAAATTTTGTAAAAATTATTTATGGTACAACTCCTGATATGGCTTCCAAAATATAATATTATATAAAATATGTGGCTTGGCGTGGCGCGTTGGCTGCTACCAGTCGCGGAATACGACTGGGAGTAAGTAACGGCCACAGCTACTAGCACCCGGATGGATGACCACCCGGGTTCATATTAGTTATAAACCTTGCCACACATACACGTGTTTGCTACCTACCATAACAACCGTAAACAATCGTAAAAACAACCTACCGTACCAACCTTACCCATACCTCAGTTCATAACCCCTACTACAGCTATGGCCTTAGTCACTCGGCTTAAGTTCAATAAAAAAAAAATATATATTTATAATTAATAAATATAATAAACAGCTATTTAAGGTATATTGTTGAAACATGGTAGAAAGGTATCAATAAAAGGGACACATTTAATACAATTTTAAGGGCCATTGGCACAAATAATTTAATATTTTTTTTTCTAATTATTAATTTTTTTTTTATTATTAAAAATATATTTAATTACAATCCATACAACATAATATGTACAATAAGTAGTTTTGATTTAAATATTTACATAGCGAGATTGACAAATAAGAGATGGCACTCAGTAGTGCCACCTGACTAATTATTAATTATATTTTAAATTAACAAAATTTAAAAAAAAACTTACATTTGTAAGTGATAAATAACGAGTCGATAATATACAGTTGATAATATAATTTTTAATAATATATTACCTACCTTTCTTTATAATAATTTTTAACAATACACTAAATACACTTAACGTTGAGTATTATTTAATTCATCATTAAAAGTTAAAACTACTTTTACATCATCCACTTTGAATACTATTTAAATATTGCTGTAAGGTGGAAAAAATGGTAAAGCGCATATTGTAGTCACAATGTGGCAGGTAGAGTGCATACAACAAGATAGCCGATATACCCATATTACCAAGGCTGGGCAAGTTAACTATATTTTTTAATTTGTTAAGTTAAGTTAAAACAAAAAAAAATTTAAGGTTAAGTATAAACTTTAAAGTTATGAGTAACTGTTCCTTTTTTAAACTTTTTAAACTAGTAACATTTAACTAAAAGTTACAAGATAACTTGAAAATAAAAGTAATTTAACTTAGTTTAAAATCAGTTAGTATTTTTTTCATATAAAATTAAAATGTATACCTTTTTAAAGCTAATAAATAGCATAGTAACTTAAGAGAGGTTTTACAGTTTTAAATAAATTTCTGTAAGTTTTTATATACTTTGATACTTTAATCAATGGCAAAATCTGACTAAATAATTATTTTTAGGTATATGTTTACCTAATGGTACACAACAACTATACTACGTTATAGCCAAATTAATTAAATATAATATAAAATATTATTTAGTTCAGTTGTAATTCTATGAATGAATACAAATATAATGATAAGTAATAAAAATATTAAAATTAATTTATAAATTATATTAATTTAATTAATATTTTAATATTATTAAAACTAATGAGTATAGAAACGTGTATGGAATACTGAGTAAATAATTATGTTTTTCTTTTCTCAACTAAGGGGTTACCCCCATAACTTTTCTGGTTATAATTTATTCTGTGAATATGCAATATTATAACAATTATTTATTATATTAATTATAAACAATATTCAATACTTCCGATTATTATTATTTTTTTTTTTACCCAAAATAGGGTAAATAATTATATATTTGTGGTTTTAGGAAAATAATTAATTAATGTGGCAATAAAATTAATTAACTTATAAGTTATTTTATGACAGAGACAAACATTTAACTTTAAAAGTAACTTTTTAACTGGTTAATGCCCAGCCTTGCATATTATTATATTAGGTACTAATATTTGTTGACTGTCAAAGACAGTTGTATCTCTTCTGCATATAGAAGGTACTAATGGATGTTTTGTAAAATAGGTAGCTTTTAATTTTTTACTATGTTGCTCGTGTAATAGGTAAAATTATAAAATATGGGTACCCAATTTCCTTAACAATAATAATTTATGCTATTATAATCTAATTAACATTTATTATATATTTTATTATTGTATTACATAAAACTTATTTTCTTTTATATAGTATTCTAGTATACATTGGAGAAAATTCTTTATATATTGGCCCTTATGGGCGATATATATAGCTCACTTTACAATGAATTGGTCCAACTACATAATAATGCATTGGCTACCCACATATTTGCGTTACCTTGGTGCTAATTCACATAGTATTAGTTTAACAGCTGTTCCATATATATTCAATTCAGTGTTTGGTATTGGTAAGTTTTAAGTATTCAAAATATAAGATCGATATCAAATAGAATAAACTATGAATTTATTATAAATTTAAAGATTTCAATGTTAATTACCAAATATATATTTCTTTTGGTTACTTGTGAGTTGTGGGTCATGATTAATGACTTGGATAGGTTCATAAAATATGTTATCTCGCCTACAAATGTACTCTGTTGTCACTTCTAAGTTCTAAGCAACATTTGTTAATAGGTATAACTCTATATTTAAACTTTTCCATAACCCAATATGCTTATATGTTGCTTATATAATGTCATAATTATTTATGCATAAATTATGGAACATTTTTTTGATGTTGAACCATCTAGGTCAGAGGTTCCTAAACTTTTTACGGTTTGACCCATTATGGAAAATTTTGAATTTTGGCGTCCCACAACATACTAATGAGTAATGACCGGTTTTATGTTGTTCCAATGATGATTGCAGTGTGGCAGCTTTGTGTTGGCACACTGACATGTCATTGAATGTGACTATTGCACACGTAATCGTCGCAGATGATGATAAAACATTTCAATAATCACATGGGAATTTAAATGCATTTAATATTTATACCAAAGTAATAAATCTACAATATAGTTGGATAGAAAATACTGTATCATATAAGTACTCGTATTCATACATAAAATACATTTTCTTTTATATATCTATATATTATATTTTATAGTAATATAATAGTAAATATTTTACATTATAAAAAAAATATATATATATTTCAGAACTTTCCATGAACTACCGAACACATAATTGCGACCCATAAATGGGTCGCATCCTACAATTGTGGGAATCTCAGATCTAAGCCATTTAGCTATACCATAAGGGAGCAATAGACTTAAAAAAATTTGTGATTTATCTTGATACTTAATTTTTGTAATGCATAATTTTAAAATATGCAATATAACTTTATTTTGATTTATTTTACTCATAGTCATTTTGTTTTTCAATTTATACAATAATTGGTGTATAACTAAATTCTAAAATCTAAATTTTTACATATTCCAATTTTAAATCTTTAATTTAAGGTAGTTTGATATTTCATTTATAATTTTGTGTTCCTTATAATTAAGTTTTAATATATTATTTATTAAAATAAAGTTGCAGGAAATTATGCGGATAAACTAATTGATCGTAGATGGTCAGTCTTAAGTGTTCGACGACTAATGACTACTATAGGTTTAGTAGGACCAGCAATATTTTTAATTCTATTTTGTACAGTGAATAGCTTGGCTGCAGCCATAATGTGAGGAAGCCTTATATTATATTTTATATTCAATTGATTGCTACAAAATGTATTTTATTTATTTTATGTGGTAGATTCATTTCTATATCAATGGGACTATGTGCTTGTAATTCAGCTGGGCATTTAAGTAATCATGCTGAAGTGGCTCCTAATCATGCTGGCATTACATTTTCAGTATCCAATACACTGGTAAATTATATTTAATATTTTGTTTATTATATAAATTATCAATTTTATTAGTTAGACCAAGGGTCGGCAACCTTTTTGATGTCAAGGGCCAATAAAAATAAAACATTTTTCATGGGCCACAAGCCCACAAATTGAATATACCTTATTTTATTTTAAACAAAAATGTATAGTCAAATCAAATTTAGTTTATGAACTATTAATTTAGTATAACGGGTTAGGTTTATTAATTTAACAAATTTTAGTTTGTGGTTTTTATACAAATTATAAATTGTACTCGTGGAACACTTAAAATTACTATGATGGCCACATGTGGCCCTCCGGCCGCAGCCTGATTTGGAACTATCTTAAGAAAATCATAGTTATCAGTTAAATTTTAATATTTATATTTCAAAACTGGTTTATTTTACTTGATTTTTTTTTGAAAATATCTTAGGCTACCATACCAGGAATATTATCTGGTCCTCTTACGGCAGAACTTGTGACTGCATCTCATGGCCGTTGGTTTCCGGTTTTCATATTGGCGGCTGCTCTAAATTTCACTGGCTCAATTATTTATTGTAGTCAAAGTTCAACATCCCAAATATTGTAATTAACAAATTTGTAAAAAAAAGAAAAAATATACAGAGTATTTATTTTTGTTAATTCGTTTTAGAGTTACCAATCAAATAAACTATATTTATTGTTTAGATATTATTATAAATATTATTTGAGATTATAAATGTTTATTTTTATTAATATTATGTTGTCATTACATTGTAAATAATAATTACTACTAAACCTATTGATTAAATATAATATATGTTAATTCTTGCCTCTTGGAAATATGTGATGGATGATAGTCCCTCCCCCCAACCACCGAAATGTCTGGGGTAATTGTTAAATATGAATTGATTTATATGCATTTGTATTATAATATTATTTGTTTTGTATTATTATTTATTATTATATTATCTGCTATTGTTTTTTTCTTACCAAAACCAAAAGTTTGCCCAATAAATAATAATACACCATAAAATCATAATATACCTAATATTATGCCTGATTTGATAGGTAAGTATTGAACTAATAACTATCAGATTCAAACTGATATCCAATACATATTACTGACTTAATAGGCATAATATAGCTATAATGTATTCAACTTAAAACAACATTGTATGAGAGTAGGAAGTGATTAATGATTACAATTACTGTGGTTGCTAAGGGAACAAACGAATAGTATTCTAGTACCTACAGTCTTATAAAAAAAAGAAAGTAGAAATAGAAGATATCTTCTACTCATAAGATTGTCTATAAATTATTATTTCTAGATTATAGATTTGTGTAAGTGCTCAACTCGTTTAATAAAAAATGAATGTTTGTCATTAAAAAGTATTTTGTTTTAAGTTCATTTTTGCAAATGAATAATAATATGGTCTTTAACGTAAGTATATGAAGGAATCTCCCAAAAACATGTTTACAATGTGATATAATTTGGACATATGGACGAATAGTTTTCTTTTTTACTTTTAAATAAATATAGTTCACACTTCACACTGTGGCTGTTTAACTGTTTATAATTAATTAACCAACTACTCGTTAAATTTAAATTGTATGCATCAAAATTCTTAGACGAATATTGTACTATGTATAATATTACTTTTAACTATACCTTAATTGGGCTACCTACTTAAACATAAGTATAAAGATTCATATATTTTATATAGGTAATATGATTCAAAAGTTTATTTTTGCACAAACTATGGACCAATGCCATATTTACACATTACAGGGCTCATGTGCAAACCTTAATTTTCATCTTAATATTTTTTTCAAAATATTATTTACCTACTGTAAATAATATGTGATAGCCTGCATTTATAATATGAAAGGTAGTCTAATAGATCTTTGCTTTTAACTGTTTTAACATTTTTTATTGTCATTCTAATATTTTTTCACAGTACTATTAACTATTAAGTGTGATGCAAAACTATGACATGGAAGCAACTTTTTTTATAAATATATAGAGCACATAGTTACTAGTTTTACTTGAACAGAATTTTTTTAATCAACTTTTCCAATATATAAATTTGAAAAATCGGAAATGTATATAATATGTTGGATAAAACATTTGCACAAAAAATCATAGGTATAAATAATTCTGTTGTAGCTACAATTGTAATGCAGCTAAAAAATATGAATGAATTATTATATTAATATAGGTATCTAAATTATTAATTACAAATGTAATTCTTAAATTGTATAAATAATGCCTTTGCCAACAAGTAAATAGTTTGGTATGTTATATGATTACAATAATTAATATTGTATTTTAATAATATTCTATACAAGCTTGCTTTTTCTTTTCTTTATTTTGTTTAAAACAACATTACTGGTCACGGCTAAAAAATTAATTTTAATTATTAATATACCGATGGGTGGACTACTATACATATTTGGGGCCAATGTGCAATGCCACACCCGGTAATTGCAGCACTGCTATAAGGACTATAATAGAAGAATATTAAAATTTTAAAATTGTAAGCCTTCTATAATCCATGCACCTAACTATGTGATTGATTTCCATTATTGATATTTAACTTTTTAACTTACATTTACAATTATTTCTCCTTAAATAAGAGTTAAATTAAAATTTATTTTTGATTAGTTGGTTCTTGACAAGTTTAGTTAGTTAAATACCTACTATTGTTTTATGCTACTAATTAATCACTTTTGAGTTTTACTATAATAATGGGTACCTATAGATACATTTTGATTGATAGAGTGGTTTCAATACAAATGGGAAATTATTTCAATAGGTGTGATGTATATATAAAATATTTTATAGTTAAGTTTGAAGTTGGCAAATGTCGATCGTCGATCTGTTCATTTAGAATGGAACAGACCACAAGATGTTCTAGAACCCCTTTTCAAATTAGTTATGAATGAAAACAATAAAAATGATGTGGTTATTTACAGGTAGAAATTATTATTAAACTATTAAAACCTGATTTATCTTGTATGTTTGTATCTGATTGATTATAAAATAAATATTTTTAGAGGATTTCATAACTATTTTTGTGTTAAAAACTTATCTGGTGGCCACAATTACAAATTTAAGCTGCAGGTGGAGTCACATAATGGAAGCTCGAAGAATTCAGTGATCGAGACAGCCACAATTAGTTGTACTACAAAAAGTAGGATATCATTTAATTTTGATTTGAATATATTATAATATTTATGGGGTATAACTGTATAGCACCGGTACTCAGTCACTGAAATTAAATTTCTCATAAATTCCATGTAATATATGATATTATGCTTTTAGATGACTGTCCCAGTATCACGGCATTTCATCATAGTGCCTATCAAAATTTACCACTGCTCTTTCAGGAATTCTTAGAGACAAGAGCACACGATATAAACATTTACAATGAGCTGGGTGAGAGTGGTCTGTCCAAAGCTTGTGCAGCTGGCCATAATGATATGGTACTTACTCTGTTGCAATACGGATCAGATGTGAATTTACCAAATATGTTCACTAGAATTACACCGCTGATGACTGCTGCTTACCATGGACACGGTGACATAATAAGAATATTGGCTCGCAATGATGCCGATGCTACATTAAAAGATATGTGCGTATGGCTCATCAATAATGACAATATTTTTTTCCCATATTTAATTAAAATATTTTATATTATATTTACTATGTTTTATACAGAAATTCAAAAACAGCACTTCATTATGCAGTCGATGGATCTCATAATGATGCAGTAAAGATGCTTCTGGAAGGAAATTGGGGTGATGTAAATTCCGTAGACTCTAAAGGTTGGACTCCATTAATGAGAGCAGGTAATTATACTTCCGTTATAAAAATACTAATAATTAAATTAATGATGGAAAGTTAAAATTTTGTAAAAAAAGAAATTTCTTTATAAAATCTTAGCCGATTGTCTAGGTTAGTTCTAAACACTCGTTTTATAATATATGTAATACCATTGATTATATAATCAATGGTAATATATACATTTCAAAAGCTGATTATCAATGAATATTACAATATTATACTATGATTTAATTTTAAATAAATATATTTTTGTTATTTAGTATTGATGTTTACCAATTTGGACGTGATCAAGACCCTTATTTCATATGGTTCAGATTTAAGTATTAAAGATAAAAATGGTCAAGATATTTGGCAGTTGGCTCATTTATCAAATAATTGGAAAGCTCTAAAAATATTACCAGATTAAATTATTAAGTTTTTTCATGATTTATTATAAGAATGAGAAAATATGTTACTTTTACTTAATAATTGTTAACATCCAATGTATATCTATTAGATTTTTCAACACATTGCATAATCAATTTGAGTATTACTAATGAATAATATTATATTATTATATAGCAATGTAAATAATTTAAATGAAAACTTATTAGTAAATAATTATACAATAATAGCATATTATAATATTATAAATAAATTATATTACCAAATTTTAAAAATGTACTTATTTTACACATTATTTAATACTTCCAAGTTATTGTTTAAATAAAAGAATCTTATAAATATTACAGAAGTTGCTTAAAATAATAAAATAAAATTAACTTACTTATATAAAAAAAATATATTTAGAGCAATTTTACAATTGAATAATAAAACACAAAATTATTCAGTTAAATGTGGAAAAAATCTTGAAGCATAGTCGCTCTTCTTTTTTCAGCGATATCCATTTGATTTTCTAGATCACCTCTATCGGTAGTTTCTGCTCGTTCTATCTTCCATGATAGATTTTCAATTTCAGCTTCCAGTTTGGCTTGTTGATATTCAAATAGTTCTTTCTTTGGTCCATTGTCCATATAATATGCATATGGATAAGTATACTGAAGAGTATACCGGCATTTGGCTAGTAAAGTAGCAGAATCCAACAGGTATTGCCAGTCAATCCATGTACCTTTACTTGTCATCACTTTACTATTAATTCTTTCTTTGATTTTATCAAGCGTTTGTTTCTCCAATTGCAAACTTTTAGAATGATTTTCCCAACGTTCATAGTAGTGGAGATATTTTTTTAATGCTTCGCGAGCTTTAGCAGATTCTGAACCATTCTGAGGGTTTTCTCTATACTTAGAACAGTCATAATACTCAGTGCCATGTGCTTTCCAATCTCCCATACACATCCAGCAAAAATCAAATTTACAACTTAAACACTGCATGTGATTGCAGCCACCATTTTTTTCAATAAAAATATTACATTTAGGACAGTCTTTGGTGTTGGCTGCGATGTAATTTGATGTTTCGCTATCATCTGCACATTTGGTAATCCATTTTTTAATGGTGGCACAATCTGTGGGGGCATGATAGTCGTTTCCGCATTTGAAACAAAATGAAGTTTCACACTGAGTACATATAGCTTTTTTGGCAAGAGATTCTTTCGATTTAATGACTGCCGTACAGTTAGCTCCAGGCAAAAGCGTTAAATGGATGTGATTTAATATACTACGGAATGCAAAATGTGGTACTTTTTTCTTAAGATTGGTTTATTAACTGTCGATAAAACTATTTCTTCTGGAACTAGTAATTCACAGTTTAATGCCATACAAGAAAGTTCTGTGCTCACACCTTGTTTTATTTTATTTCAAATGACAACGCCAACATTTCTCACAATAACACTGTCCACAAGCCAATTAGTAATCCTAATTCTTCAGCTACTGGCCCCACACAGACTGGACAAACAAATTTATCTCTTTTTGTTTTAACCGATACTGGCTGTAATGTTTTCATTCTGGATGCGACAAAAAGCTTATCGGCGTCTTCATTATACTTCCACAATACATCCTGAACAGCCCATTTGTTTTCATAAAGTAAAACTTTAGACATTGATGGTGTTACATGTATACTAGTACACAACTGTTCAACAAGTTCATTCAAAAATTTTTCAACCTCGTCAACAGAGAGGCATTGAACAGGAAAATATTCAGCATCGGGATTGTGTGGTGGACTCATTACATCACGATCAGCATTGTAATAGTCTTCATAGTCATCCTGATCTGAGTAGTCCATATCCTCATCATCATATTCAGACATTGTTTCTTTTAAAAACGGTTGTATACTTGAATCAACAGTTTATACCAATTGAAGCCTATAAAAATATTTTAATGATGAAAATCAAATCTATAATGTTATAACATTATTTATATTAGTAATTATTATTTATAATAATAGGTACTTATTAAATATTAATTTTATCAGTTATTCTAGAAATTCGCTAGACTAAACCGGTTTAAGATTATCCCACATTATCCCGCACCGGGATAATGAACCATGTAAATGATATGGTCCAAACATCCTGGTGCATTATTTTTCACACCGGTTTAGTCTAGCGAATTTTTAGTATGTTTAATACCTAATCAATCCGATCAATGTTTCATATTATGTATGCTAAATGTTTTTAAAATAGGTTCTAATTACCTACTAGGACTATAATAGTTGATACTACCTATCAGTGTTAAAACCAAATAGGTGATTGTATTTTTCTTAGGACCGTTCTTACAATGTTCGGTAAAGTGTTGGAGAACAATAACCAACTGATAGTAGATTTTATTATTCGGCCGGATAAGTTTCGGTTAACTTTAACCGGACATTGTCTAATGATTTTTTATACAAAACTGTATAAATGAATAAATTATAAAGAGATCTATTAAAATATAATACTAGCCACTTGGTCTCCTTAATATTTATTGTAAAGAAAAGTACCTACTTATAGATGTTCATGATTAAAACAATTACGGGCAATTTTCAATTTAATTGCCTAACTAATTTTATCTCGAATTTTATTATTATAAGATGAGATAAAATATTTTGGGTTAAAAGTATAATAATTTACATATCTACTCTAAACTTGCCTGAAATATTAAAAGTAAGAAATTCTTTCAAAATGCATTTGAACGGCCGCATTTTTCATAATTCTCTTTAAAAAAAATATTTTACGTATGTATACAAATACAATTCTGTTTATTTCCTTAATATCTAAAATTGTATATCACAATTCACAATAATAAATTATAATTTATAATAGGTACTTACGGTGGTTTTGGCAAACACAATTAAGTAATTATACGATGTAGGAACAATGGTGCATAGGACGAAGAAGATTAAAAGTAGTAATTTTATAATCAAAATTGTATCTGCATAATTTCGTTTTAAATCTGCAACCCGACGATGTTCACTGATACACGATTTTACATAATAGTAATAATAATTTTATATGATAAAATTTAAATGTTTTTAAGTACAAGATAAACACAAAGTTTGGGTGCCTATTGAGTTTCAACTTTCAATCGTGCTGCATAGTGCATACTCCAGTCTTCAATACTTGTACACTGTAGTGCACTGTTTGGCATTTAGACATTTAGTAATAATATTACTATACACACAATAAGTGATAAGATGCACTTCGGGGTTTCAAAAAACAAAAAAAAACATAACAAAAAATAACCCATTTATATGGCCATATCATAGAACAAATGGCCATATGGGTCATGGGATGGCGACAGTTGGGTCCCGTGATCATCAGAAATAATGCCACAGAATAGATGAAATCAAAATATAATGCTCCGTTGAGTAACCTGTATATTATCATAGAACAATATTATCAATATTATCTTAATTATCTTAACCGCAGTGTTTTTATAGCTTATCTCGGTTGGTCACTTCTTGATGAAACTGAAGTTTGAACTACGTAATTACTAATTATTTCGTTGTACTTGGACAAAATGTAAAAACTATTTTTTATTCTATATGATAGACATTAGTAGTTATTTATACATAATATTATTATTATTGTGCCAAGTCTATTGAGAGTTGTTATTTCATACTGATAGCATTACAGGGTACAGACTCAAGCCTGACAGTTAAGTCTATCATTCTTGATTCTAGTTGGCACTTTGGCAGTTGCATATTATTGTGTTACCATGAATTCCGCCTCGACAGCTCGAGTAAAAGAGAAGATTCGTTATGATATAAATGTCCATCGTAATCAATACAAACAAATACTATTAAATTCAAGAAGAGGAGTTGTAGTTGAGGAAGAAGATAATGTATTTACTGTTGAAGACATGCACAATTTGGCACAAGAAATTAAACATAAGAAACAAATTACTGTTGAACAATTAAGGTTATTAAAAAATGGTTTTCTGAACGGTATAGACTTTGTTTCAGAGTTTTACCATGTTCAAGGGGCCGCTGAATCCTTACTTCATCTTGCAACTGGTAAATTATTGTTTAATTTATCTGGTTCTGCACTTCTACTAAGTTTTGCTTTATTTAATTGCAGGTAATAAAAATGAAGAAGTACAGTTAGCAGCACTTGAATGTTTTTGTAACATGACCTTAGGAGATAGAAAGACATGTTTAAAATTGACAAAATTAATTATACCATACTTGATGATGTACATCAATCATTTGAATTTCAATATATCAGTAAGTTACTATAACTGGAATAAGAGTTCACTCAATTAATGATTATTTACATTTTATAATTTATAGTAAACTCTTGATTATCTGAGGAATTACTTATAACATTAATACAGTAAATATGTATTTACGATATACAATGTACACAGGGACAAACTAAAAAATATTGTGGGGTAGTATAATCTGAAAAATTGCTGACCAGATTTTGAAATTTCAAACAAATTTACTGACTGCCGTCTGAAAGTCTAATATTCCTGCCGAATGGGTACAGGGTGTTACAAATAGGTAATAGAGGTTTAAGATTATTTAATAATTTAATTTTTCTTTAATAAGTACTACTTTTTATTACTTATAAATTATAATTTATATAATAATATAATTAGAGCATTTTTGATTCAATTTGTGTTTTTCTTCAGTTATTTTGTGGATTAAAGGGATTGCAAACGGACAGTTTTTAAGGAGTACAAAATAGGAAATTTTCAAATTGCATGCATACATATCATATGAATGTTTGCATAGTAAGTGATCATTAGTGTATGTGACTGTAGTGTAAAAGACATAGCTAAGAGCTCCAGTACGTGCCCGTCAAGTCATGACCTCAGTGTTGGGCGCATCGACGATAAACAATTTATGCTCATTTGTATGTTATTTTGTCAATCCAACAGATGAACTTGATAATGCGATAAGACTTTTGAAAACTGATTTGAATTTGTTAATGTCTACTTGATTTTGATCAGGCCACATTTTAAGATATTTAATTTAAATTTAAAATTTCATACATTTTAAGTATTTAAACAAAATATATCGGAGCTTAGGAACAACATTTTGAAAATATTGGCCTGATTGATCTAAAGTAGACATATTGTTAACTAATTCAAACCAGTTTTCAGAAGTCTTATCGCATTATCAAGTCCATTAGTATGATTGACAAAAGATTGGTACATTTTGGTTGAAATAATTTACTGTTAGAAATCTAGATTTCACTTATCCACAGATAATTGATGGTTTACTGTATGTCGTTTTTTGGATATTTTATTAATTTTATATTATAGCATTTAACTCACTCAATAGTTTTTCCACTTTTAAATTGTTTAAATGTGCTATATCTTATAATGATATTATGCTACACAATTATATTTAAAACAATTCATATTTTAAAATTAGTGTTCCATTGATTCAGCTCTGAAATTTTAATATTATTTTAATTTTATTTATGCATTTAGAGTATTTAAGATTAAATATTAATTTAAATTTATCTTTAGTATACATCTTTGGTTTTGAATAATAAGGAAAACAATTAATAAAATGGAATTATGTACTGTATATTTTTGTTTTTAATTTTATTATAAACATCAAGGTTGGATTTATAGAGTTATTAATTGAATGGTTTTATTTAATAGGCTATGTGTATCTGGACTCTTGGAAATTTGAGTGATTCTAGTCCAGGTTCATGTAAAGTGCTTCAAAGTCAAAATTTCTTTGATGCACTGGTTGATCGCTTACAAAACTCAACCTGTGATGAAGTTATTTTCAATACCTTTTATGCCTTAAGACTTTTTTTAAAAAACTACCTGGTCCATTTAAAGTAAGACAAAATATTTGAAAATTAATCATTAGAAAGTATTACATCTATAAAACTAATTATATTTATAGGATTGATGATCTACACAAATTGCTACTCGCATGTTATGAACGATTGAATACATGGAAAGAATCATTTTGGATTGTGTATCAAATTTCTTGTTGTCAACAAATTGAATTGCATAATTCAGAATGTATGGAACGTTTATTGAACACCTTAAATGAAGATATAATCGATATAACGTGTTTAGTGCCTATTTTAAGAACATTTAGTAATATTATAGCTCATGATAGTACTGGTCATTCCGCATATAAATTTCTTTATGCATTACTACGTGAAAAAGGATCTATTATAAGAAATATTTTGATTAATAATAGAAATATTAATCTAAATGATGAATGTGCTTGGTTGTTAGGTAATGCTTTTAATGCATTAAATATTAGGGAACTTAACGGAAATGACCATTTGACACACACAGAAACCTTTGATGAAATTTGTGATTACCTTTTGGTATAAATTTGTTTGTGTTGACAATTTCCATAAATATGAATTATATTGTGATTTTTTTTTTAAAATTTTAACCTAGTTGTTAATTTTACATTTTTTTTTATTTTTAAAACTACAATCAATGTATTTATTAATTTTTTTATATTTATCAGACATGACCTTCTTTTTAATGTTCAACACTGTGCACTGTTAAATATATAGCGTGCTAGTGTATAATTTGTATTTATTTATTTTTATTTTTAAAATTATACAATAAGTATACATAATACAAGACATGCAGTAATGTAGTATAATATGCATAAAGAATATGATAGGATTTTATAATCTGCATGGCTTGCTGGTATGAGGAAAGAACCATCTAGTGGTGGTTCTTTGGTATGTTATTAATACGAGGTTTTGACAATATGTGTTTAATTAATGGTATTTGGGTCATTGTTGCTTGAGCATTCTGGGAAGATTTCTTTTTACAAAGAAAAATATCTGAATTCCATACACTATTTAAACTTATAATTTATAAACCAATTTTATTTTATTTGGATATATCTAGTTTAATTACCTTCTGTATATCAATATTTTAAATTACTTATTAGATGAGATTTGAATTTGTGATGCATACTAGTCTTAGCTATTTTTTCTTCAATGTTTAATTTGTGGTATGAGTGTTTATTTTGTGAAGCCTAAGGAACGGTTCATTTACTTATAAAGAGTAATCCTAGTACCTACATGATATTTTAATATTTTATTAAAGAAGAAAGTGCTATATTTACTCAACATTAAAGAACTTAAAAAAAAAACCAGATAATTTATTAATATCTTGGAATCAACATCTGAAAAATAGAAAATTTAAATATTACAATTTGAAAACACAATTATTAGTAATATGATAAAACAGACCATAAACTGAGTTATTCTATGGATTTATTATATATTTATATCATCTATTGTCACAGACGACTAACGATTTTAATAATTTTGTTGAAAAAAACAAAAGAAGCCAACAATAGACCGACGGCAATAATATACAGTGTGATCATGCTAAGAGGTACCACTGAATATCTCAGATGGGTGTCTTTGTATTGAAATGGGGTTTTCGGGAGGTGATAAGGAGCACTTAAATCCATATTTTCAGACCAGTTTCAAAGTTTTAGCTCACTCTAACGCGCATGCGCAATACAACTTACTTTTTTTTAAATGGCAACCCCAGTTTTTTTCTGCAGATTCGGGTAGAGTATTTTTTTTAAACATTTATTGTATAAAAAATTTTTTTCCATTTTCAAAACTGACCAAGTTAGAGTAAGTCAAAAATTGGATTTATGAATAATTCGTGTTTAATGATATTTTCATATTTTATAACCACTGGAAATAATAAAATAAGTGTGAAATAATTAAACATTATTTTTAGTGTATGATATTTTGTCAACTGTATAAATTAAATGTACGACAAAATAGTTATAACTTATAATGATAATAGTAATAATAATATTATAATAAAAATAAAATCTATATATCTATATATATTTATCGAATGAATTGTTCGAAGTTTTCGCCATCATGTTCTAAACATGATTCCAGTCGTCTCCAAAATTCCGTTGAAGTTGCCGCCTTGATTTGGTCCTCACTTAAAATATCACATGCTGTTTGTATTTTGTGTTTTAACTTTTAAGTTTTGAAGATTGACAGGTGGATCTGCATAAACCACAGTCTTCAAATATTCCCATAAAAAAAATCTGGGGATCGTGCAGGCCAAGGAACAACGCCATTAGTACCAATCCAGCGATTCGGAAATATTTTATTTAAATGTTGCCTAACAATAATTGCATTGTGGGCTGGTGCTCCATCTTGCTGGAAAAACATACGTTCTCGTGTGTCTAATGAAACATCATCCAACAGTCTTGGAAGTTCGTTGGTTAAAAAATTAAGATATCGTCTGCCATTATAAGCGTACCATCATAAAAGAACGGTCCTATTAGCTTTTCACTAACCAACTCACACCATACATTAATTCCCCAGACCGTTTGGAAATTAGTTTCACGTGACCAGTGTGGGTTTGTGTCATCCCAGTATCCATGATTTTGTTTATTCATAATTCCATTGTTAGTGAATATTGATTCATCACTCCAAAGAATTTGATTGACAATTAAACGGTTATCATACAATTTAGTATTGAACCAAGCTATAAATTCCAACTTACGAATAGAATCTCCTGCACGCAAATGTTGGACCAAATCGATTTTATATGGGTGCATTTTGTGTTTTTTTAGAATTTTTTGGACGTAACCATATGAAACTCCACTTTCGCGAGCAACATGCCTAATTGACGAACGTGGATAAGCTCTTATGTATGCTAGTGGTACCTACTACCTGTAATTCTTTATAGTCATCAAAAATATTTGCTCTACACCTTTGTTGGTTTATTTGTGTGACAGGAAATCTTCCTTCCTGATTTAACCCTTGTAAAAGTCGTAAGACATAATTAGAAGGTGGATGGTATCTTTCTGGGTATCGTTCGGCATACGTTAAAGCAGTCAGGCGTTCATTACGTTGACATTCGCCATAAATTAAAACCAACTCAACTTTTTCAGCGTTATTCATATTTAAAAATTATAATTTAATATTTATAGAAGCACTTAATAACCAGACATACACGGATATCGCACACACTTTGTACGAGTCTAGTAACAGAATAAAAGTAAAATGATATTTTTCATCAAACTAATGAATAGGTTATAGGTACCTTTATTTAAATACGTTAATGATTACATTACCTGCTTATCTTATTGTAAATATAAATTAGGGCTATTTTAAAATAAAATAAAATGAAACTATAAAAATAGTTAAAATTGTAATCCAGTTATAGCAGTTTACTAAACAAATTAAATTATCACTAAAAATATCACTGTTAATATTAATAATTATCAATATTATCACATACTAGGGAGTAGGGACTAACACTAATATCAATCTAGTGACTAATACAGTATTATTAAATAATTATTTGAAAACAGACAAAGTCGATTAAACATTTAATTGGGTCTTATTTTATTATATCTAGTGGTTATAAATGAAAATATCATTAAACACGAATTATGCATAAATCCAATTTTTGACTTGCTCTAACTTGGTCAGTTTTGAAAATAGAAAAAAACTTTTTGTACAATAAATGTTTAAAAAAAAATACTCTACCCGAATCTGTAGAAAAAACGTGGGGTTGCCATTTGAAAAAAAGTAAGTTGTATTGCGCATGCGCGTACCGAGTGAGCTAAACATTTGAAACTGATCTGAAAATATGTATTTAAGTGCTCCCTATCACCTCCCGAAAACCCCATTTCAATACAAAGTCACCCATCTGAGATATTCAGTGGTAACTCTTAGCGTGATCACACTGTATAATAACCATCTCTTTCGAATTGACAAATTTATTCTTGATGACTTGATGACTTGATCTGCAGACAGCGAGGTGTGGCTAAGTTGGCGAGAGCTAAGAAAACGTTGTTAGCTGTAAAATCATTACATAGTCAATAGTCATTGAAGATCGACAAAATAACATTTTTTTGCCAGTCCATTCCATTTATTCGAACATAACCATGGCTTACATGTGTCTTCATACTTAGAGATCGGTTAGAATCATTGATCGAAGAAATCGAATCGTCGGACAACACTCCGCCGCGATATTACAAGTTAAAATGATTTATGAATGATATTGCAAAATGAATTGCCGGAAATCATTAGTTTTTAATTGAAAATGACACTGAAGTTTGAATTTGGTGGTCAGACTTATTTTAAAGTTATGGGTAGCTAATTGAAATTTTTGGTATTTTCATATATGCCCGGCGTATTCACTCGCAATTGTAATCAAAAACATCCCTCGACTTGTTATGTAAAACCACCTGCATGGGTGGGTGTCAGAATTATTTTTTCACCATCATTCTTAAAACATTAATTTAACTAGGTTAAAAAAAATTTTAATTTGTTTTACTTAAGCTCAGTAAAATTTAAGCGTTGTGCGGGCACTTAAGACACCGAAAATCGTGAACTTCGTAAGGCTAGATATGCCTTAAAAACTAACGATATGGATTAGACACTAAATTAAAAAAATATTTTGGGGTTGTAAGAAATTGTCTTCAAATTGTCACTTTTAGTTATTTTATATAGTGATATTATTGGTAGGTTAAGTTTCTATTTTATAATAGATCAATAGCCAATATAGGTTAGGTACCTAAATCACATTATTTTATTTAAATCCCGTTAGTCGAGTTTTGGACAAGTACCTACATCTAGGTACCTACTTAACTTATAAGTTATAATGATTCATATTGTAATGTAGTTAGGTAGCAAAAAAAATATAACTTCTCAAACACGGTGTCTAGGGGCACTCGCAGGAGAATATATTAGAATGTCTGAATGTCTATAAACTTGCGGACCAGTTTATATAGTTAAATTTTTCATGCGTACTATAACAGAAATAGAAAACCAGAATAGGTACATTTGCAGATCATAAAGATTTCTGTAAATGAACATACGATTTATGAATAAGCCGTATTGGTACTGAGTATAATATAGAAGCAACAAACCAGCTAAGGCTTGAAAGAGTCCAAAATATTTTTTTATCTTATATCTCTTTCATACTCAAAATCGAGCATCCTCGTCAAGGCTTCTCGTCCGTGCTTTAAAAATTAAACATTCCTACGCTTCCTTCTCGACGATTTGATGCTGATTTCCGCTTTATTCAAGGCCTGCTGTCTATATTATATAGAATTGAGGGTTAGCCTACCATTTATCAATATTTATCGTCCAGATTATATCTGCTTCCTGCAACTACATATTTATAACGTTAGGCGTGTGTCCCTTTCTAAACGTCTTGTAATTAATTAAATTTAATGAGCAATTCGCGTTACAAATAGCGGGTAATCGAATGCTTGGAATCGTGCGGCACAAAGACCAAAACACTAAAATCTAGACTCATCAAAAACTTCGAACATCTTAAACACGTCCATGCTTAACACGTCTCTGTTTTTTTTGTCATTATAGTACATAACTTACTCATCGGACAAGTTGGCGCCACAACAAAACATACGGCCGAAAAACCGTTTTATTCGGCGCCAGAGACTGCGGCGACGTGCCTTTGCTTGCGTTTTGGTGTCCGCTTTTCCAGTTTCGGATTCCGAAATCCACGAAACGTTCCTGTCGGAACACCAACACGACCGGGTCGTGGTCGCGTTCCACCAGGATTTGATCTTCCGTTCGCCGCTCTTCGACTTCCGGCGTTGGCGGCCCCTGCTGCAACACCGCGGTCGGATCGAAGATCACGTTTTCACCTGTTAACACCAGCGGCTAGTTAAATGAGGCGTCGACCATGGCCATTGCGGCCCGGAATGCCGGACCCACATAGTTTGGTAGCTGGATGCGACGTTAACTGGTTCAGGCGGCTTGACGTAAAGGTCCAGTCCTAATATATCAGCGTCCGATATGTAGCCCGGTTGAGTCGTCCGATCTGTCCTAGCCACGATGTCCTCTGAGTTCTGGACGTGAGTTTGACGAGGCATTGCCTCGACATCCGGCACGGGATAGAATTTTGCGGGCCTCAGGTCCGAAAAAATGCTCATGATTTCTTCCCTCTCAGTGGAAAGTGACTGGTATTGGTTCGCGTTCATGATAACAAACGATACAATTCGATATGGCAGGAATACGATATTGAACGGTATCAAATGAACGACGGCAGTGGTATTAATGAACAAAATTCAACAATCACAGATTGTGTATTTTAATAAAAAATTTAAAGCCACGGGATTACTGTTGATTTTTAATAGGCCAGTATAAATATTATCTTATTATCTTTTAATATGCACTCGTTTCAAATATAAAAAAAATTTATTTATGAAAAATGTGCAAATTCAATACCGGATATAAGTCAATAGATAGCTGATAATTGATGTAGAGTGACAATTCATAGCGGTCAATTGATAGAACGTATAAATTGATCTCGAGCGACTTTTCATAGTAGGACAATTTGTAGTGCCGTATAGAACTCAATAACCTAACAATTATTAAAAAAAATGATTATAGTAATAAATATTACAATAGTAAGTTTAGCTAATAAAAGTTAGAATAAACAATTTGAAAACGTTAGAATATGTTTACACTTTACAGTGTAGACATATAGATCGTAAGTCGTAACAATACTGCAGATTAAATATATAAGTTATAATTAATAAAATATTATCAAACAAAATTACATTTAGACGTATTATTTAAAAATAAATTAGTACTATTCCACTTTAGGAATATTTTATCATAGTTATGCAAATATACATGCATGTACTTTTGCAATTCCAAGTATTTCGTGTAGGGGGTGGGGGTGGGGACACGTGCAAATTATAAAAAGTGATTTTGCGAACCAACGGATGACGGTAGAGTTGAGGGACCTAGTGTGCAAATACATGCAAATTACAAACCAAGGTACAAAAAATTTTCAATTTTTATATAATCATAATTACATTAGAATATAGGTATATACAATTTTAATAATTTAATCTGATTAAAAAATAGTATCCACGAGGATGGTATAAATAAAAACTACCTATTTTTATTTTTATTTAATTCTTATTTTAATTAACTATTTGGATTTACAATCTTAATTATAAAATATATAGTTTTAGAAAAATAGTTATAATATACAAATCGATGACCGAGAAAATACATGATAATTAGGTACATGCTAAATATTGGCGTAGAAATTTGAAAATAAGTTTTTGTGATGTGTGAGGGGGTCGGAGACACGTGTTTGCAGCCTCCCCCCTATTTTTTGATACCATGCCTAATTAAAAAGCATGTAAATTACAAAATGTAGCATGCAAATACATACTAATTACTTGAAAAAAAAAAAATTGGAAAATTCTAATGTGGGTGGCTGGAGACACGTATACGTTGATATTTGTCATAAAAATTTGGCAACGTACGTCACTTCTAATTTCACGCGTAGTCGTACCTTTGGATAATCAAAATTCTTTTTAATTTCGGCACAATCGTATTGTATACCCAAAAAGGTAAGACGTTTGCAATCGTACTCCATCGAATATTTCAATAATAGTCTAAAAGTTTTTCTCTGTCATTTTATTAAAATTCTGATAGGTTTCTCAAGGCAAATAAAATAAAGAGACGTTTTATTTTAGTGTATGGTATAATAACAATATACGATATATCCGTTCCCGATTTTGTACGTAACAGCTGTCTGATCTTCAAGCCCATGTACACGCATATTGTATTTTTTTTTTTTTTGAAAACGCATTAATAAATGTATGCCTATTGTCTGAAAATACACTCCATCCACACAATCGTTGTTTCTTTTGTTTAAAGAATAAATTAAAAATATTTATACATATTTTTTTTAACAAAACAGATTCCTTAATCATAAAACATCAAACACTCGAGAACCAAAACTCGCCGAATGTATTTCACTATATGTATAATAATAATATACTGCACGGACGCACGGTCACAAACATAATATACAGGGTGTCCCGTGAGGATTTACTCATTGCGATATCTCCTGAAATAATAGAGATATTGTAATTCTGTTTTCTTATAAAGACTCACAGCGGTAAGCACTACAAATAACTAATTTTTTATTTTTTTTTTATGTTTTGGTAAAAAAGTTAAAATATTATTTTTTTAATTAATTATTTAAAAAAATATTGAAGATTGCCATTTTGTAGAGTTCATTTTTCTGAAAATATTGACGATTCAACATTTTAATTTCATTAATTTCCTGATTTTTAATAATTTTTTTAATTAATAAGTAATACGGCAAAAAACCGGTTTTTGTCAGGGCGACGAGTCCCCCTCTACGGCTAATTTTGTAAATCCTCACGGGACACCCTGTATGTATCTAAATCTAATGAAGAATTTTTGTAACACTTTGATAAAAATGGTATTTTTCACAACTATAAGTCTATAACAAGTGTTTTTGGTTTGAATGGGATAATGAATCTCAGGATTAAGTATGTGTACAGTCAGTGGCGTTTCCTGACTTTCGGCGTTAGGCGTTAATGTGTGAGGAAAACAATTAGGAAAACCCCCCTTATGGGAAATAAATTCGTATCAACTATTAATAATCAACATATTATTAAAATTATTTATTGTATATTATGTTTTCGACGATCGGCGTTGCAGTCTTGCAGTATAGTACCTATGGGCTACGACGTAAACAGGATAACGTGCAGCCTCGACGATCCCCACTAACGGTCCAAACACAGTGTATATTACACGCTAGCGCTAGACTAGTGGCTAGTCGTTAATTTCATTTTCAACGACTTGGTCTCAGTGGCGCACACAGGGGGGGGGGGGTTAAGGGGTTGTAACCCCCCCCCCCTCCCGAAATTTCTCCGAGGCCTAGTATAATATTAACGATTTTTACAAATATGAAAAAAATTGGTCTTTAATTTACTGCTTTAATTATAAGTTATAAGAGTATCTATAATAATATTATATATTATAATAGGTACTGCAGCACTTGATAACATGATCATTGATCTCGATTAAAAATGTTGTCTTAGAACTTTATTAAAATTATATTTTTACATTCGTCATAATTATCACGGCTATAGCCTGCATATTACTGTGATATTACAGATATTCTTATCTATATCGATGCTTATCTATGAAGAAAAAGTACCTCCAAAAAGACGTTATCACATATCTACTATTATTTAGTAATTAGTATACCTATTTAGTTTGCAATTTTCAATCTGAGAACGTGAGGTACCTGCGACCTGCCAGTATTTGTTTTATATTAAATTGAATTATATTATATAATATTACATTAGGTACTTATTTTTATTTTTATTTCAAATGGCCAAACGTGACGGAACAATTATTTCTTTTTTCTCGAAGAAGAGTAAACTTGATGAAACAGTATGTATCTATCTATGTATAAGTATTAAAATTATTAAATTACAAGTTTTGGATAATTTTTATGAAAATATTAAACTATTTACTACATCGACTATCCCAATGAAGATCATAAACATCAATAACAATAAATTAAATTGTTGAATTCTAAAATTTCAATATAAAAAATTCTAAAATAGAATTTACTAAAATGTAATTTTAATATATTATGCTTTAAATTTATAATATTATTAGATAAAAATCTTGTATGTGCTACTGCTTTTTGCTAATACCTGCTTGTAATGTAGACGCTTGATAATGATCCGCTGATTAATGTTATTGATGATCAATCAACAAATGACAAAAATGATTTCAAATGCAATAAAGATATCTCATTTTATATTGAAAATTCAGTAAGATTTTTAATTTCAAAATGTGAGACATGACTTAATTGTTCTTTTTAATTATTTTATAAAGGTTTCTGACAGTGAAAAATTACTTGCACTGAATAATCTTTGGTCTCCTACTCCTGGATATAAATTCCCTATAACAGGGAACAGACGCTTAAAATTTCAATATGCTTGGCTTCTACAATACACAGGGCCTGATTAACCAATAGGCTAAGTAGGCTACAGCCTAGGGCGCCAAGCGTTTTGGGGGCGCCACAAAATTTTTTTTTACGAATGTAGAATTTTTGCTTAATATATACTTTAAAAAAAAAAAAATTATATTTTCGTTGCCGCGGTCTATTCGCCGTGCCGTAACCGCGTCGCCGCAACTAATTTCTGCCCGGTCGACTATTGTAATATATTACGTTATTTGTCATATACCTATTTCTTGTAATCGTCACGGGCTTATCGCACCGACGACCGAGCGATCCCACATCCACTAATATTATGTATAAGACTTTTGAGCCATTTAAAATCCTTGAAGATAGAGTGTCACTATTTCCAAATGTTGAAGTGGCTCTAAGAATATATTTGAGTGTGGCCGTCACAAATTGTAGAGGAGAAAGACCTTTTTCTGCCATAGGCCGGGTGAAAAACATTTTAAGATCCACTTTACGCCAGGATAAAATGAAGGCCCTTGCACTTTTGTTTATTGAAAGTGAATTCATGAACAATATTTCTTTCGATGAAATAGTAGAGTCTTTCGCAGCGTTAAAATCAAGGAAAAACTTTTTTATATGAATAATATTTAGTTCAATCATAAATTAAAAATGTTTAAATGCTTTTGTGTATAATTTTATTAAATATAAAACACGTTTTATTTTAAACAAAAAAAGTCTGTTGTTTTTACGTTTTCTTAATCCTCGTTTTACCCTCCAACCACTCCGATCATTCATAGGGGCGCCAAATCAACCCTAGCCTACTGGTGACCAACTCCTTAATCAGGCCCTGACAATACAATTGGTTATGCTTTTCTCAAATACAAAATGGTGCCTATTGCAAAGTATGTGTATTTTTTAGTCTTAACCAAGGTGTTGGTAAAGGTATGCATCAAACTCCAGGGAAGTTAGTATCAGAAAAGTTTGATAATTGGAAGAAAGCACTTGGCTTAAAAGGGGTATTTGAGATGCATGCAAAAAACGAATATCACAAAACAAGTATGTATAAATATGATTCTTTTTTAGCTGTTAAAAATAAAAACCTTTATAAACTATTTGTAATAAACTAAAAAAATTATAATTGATATTTAGACTATAATAATATGTTAGATATACTTTTTTTCATACAACATTTTGCTATATGTTTGCTTAGGGCTA